TATATATATATATATGTGTGTGTGTGTGTGTGTGTGTGCCCTACACGTGACTCACAAGTGAGCACTAACAAAGAAGCTAACTAACCGAGTTACTTAACTATGGTTACACATATAATTAAAACAATATCTCAATACTCAATAAACTTTACCAGTGCTATACCATTCCGAGAATAAAGACTCTTTTCAAGAAAATCACTAACCAGAATCAAATGGTTTTTTTTGGGGGGGAGGGTGAAGTTGAGGGGAGGATCTTATGAGAAACGTTGGCGTTTGGTCAAAAAAATGAAACATAGAAAATGTTTGAGTTTTTTTTCGCAAAAACACACATTTCTTAGGTGGCATTTGATCTAAAAAGTAGAAAAACACTTTTACAAAACCAATTTCTCTTTTTGCAAAACTAAGGGATTTTCCTATAGATATAAAATTAGGATAATATTTACTTGATTTAGCTAATTAAGTTTTTCTTTTTACAAAAAGTAACTAGAATTTTTTACAAAATATATACGGATCAGATCAAAATCTTTAAGATCGACTGCATAACCAATAGTGAACCTAGAAGTGCCATGATCCAGCCCAATCAGCATATGAATAAGCCACCACCATAAAAAGATCATTTGCTCGCTTCAACACAAGACCATAATCTGCGATACCCTGCAGATACCTCACAACAAGAAGGTGAGCAGTACGAAAAGCATGCATAACCTGAGAAACAAGATTCGATACACAAAATTTACCGGGCCTAGTCAGAGGCGGATTTAGGATTTGAAAATGGTAGGGGCACCACTGTCGAATAAAAATTTGAGCAAATGTTGAAGTCGGAATCGAACTCAGGCAGAGCACTAAAGTCAAGTTGTGGACCCTAAATCGATCAATGCAGCTACTTAAAATTTTAATCTTAGGGTGCCAATCAAATATAAATGTGTTATTTAAGATATATACACATATATACGTACATCTTTTCCGAAGTTACCAAGGATCGTTGACCCCACTACCAAAGTGTAGGTACGCCTTTGGGCCTAGTCATAGTCAAGTATTGCAATGCTCCCACCATACTGCGGTATTCAGAAGGATCATATAATAGTTTTCCATTTATCTATAACAACGAGGTCCTAGATGATAGCGGTGTGCAAACAAGTTTAAACTTGTGAATACTAAATTTGTTGAACAAGTCTTGAAAATATTTAGTTTGAGAAAGAAACATAGAATCTAAAGACCGCACAACCATAAGAGAAATGATGTGGTAAAGTAAACAAGCTCCCGGTAAAAATAATATCATCCAGAAGTAAAATAAAAATGTCAGAGGAAGAGCGAATTGCATCAACACGTAAACAATTGGATTAGTGAATTTATGTTTCTATTATTTTCAAGACCTTTGGAGTTGACTTTATAGTCCATAAAACAAAGGAATAAATTGCATCAACATATAAACAATAATTATTTAAATCTAAAATCAGCATAGAGCCATCAAATAATTTATAAAACATAACTTCCTCTGTTGTCTCACCGTCTTTTTCACAACAATAGCTTGAAAAATACAATAGGAATAAAAAGGTACCATTGAGGAAATCAAGAAATGCATCTTATTGGTTATGGGGTCGTAATATTCATTACACTTTTTCTATTCATAAGAATTCTCATCCTTACCATCTGGTATGTACTCAACGCCAGCAACAACAAACAACTTTTTGTTAATCGTAGCGACAAAAGGCTGCCTACGCAACCCAATAGATATCATCACCAATAGCGCCCAGCTTCCTGACATTCCAAAACTAGAACGACAGAGCTTCACAATGGGAAAAACCTTTTTCTTGGCGCATCTTGGGATATGAGGTGCCAAATTATACACAATAGAAGTACAGGGGAGTTGTTTAGAATTAGTTAATATTAGTTAGTTAAATCTGTTACTTTGACAACTGTAAATTTGCTGTTAATCAGTTAGTGGAGTTAGTGGTATTAGCACTATATAGTGCAGCCTTGTATTGAACGATAATGAGCTAAAGAATATAATTCTCATTTCTCTTCTTCCTCATTTCATTTCTTCTATTTCTATGGAGCTTGAATCGAATATGGTATCAGAGCGGGCACTATAAATTGATCAATCTCCGACGAGATCCAAGTTATCTGAGCTCGATTCCTTAACCAGCTATGGCAGAGAGTGAAGTCAATTCCCTAGATTATAATCATCCATTGTTTCTGCAAGCTTCAGATGCACCAGGGCTAGTTTTAATTATTCTCAAGCTCACAGGACCAAAACAATATGTACTGTGGAGTAGAGCGATGAAATTGGCACTCCGAGAAAAAAGCAAGCTGAGATTTGTGGATGGATCGTGTGTGAAAGGTAGGTATAAAGGTGAGTTGGCAGAACAGTGGGAAAAAGGTAATGCAATTGTTCTTTCATGGATTGGTAGTACTGTTTCTAATGAATTGATGCCTAGCATCGTATATGCATCGAATGCAAGAAAAGTTTGGGCTGACTTTAAGGAGAGATTTGTTAGATCGAATCTAACTAGGATCTATCATCTATAGACTGTTATTGCAACTCTGAGACAGGGGACTAATTCAGTTACTAGCTACTATTCTAAAATAAAAGATTTATGGGATGAGTTGGATGTAATTGCACCTTTAGCATCATGTGACTGTGAAAAATCTAGGCCATCTGTAGAGTTATTGAAAAATATACGATTACTGCAATTTCTCATGGGGTTGAATGAAAGCTATGGGAATATTAGGAGCAATATCTTAGCTAAGAGGCCTGTAATCACTGTGAATGAGGCTTATGCAATGGTCACAGAAGAAGAAAGCCAAAGAACCATGGGGTTAATAGACACGTTGAAAGATCCACTCACAATGATGGCAGGAAAGAGTCATGAATTCAGACAAAAGAGGCTAGGATTAGTCTGTGACTATTGTGGTTATAAAAGACACCTCAAAGAAAATTGTTACAAGATAGTAGGGTACCCACCAGATTTCAAAAGCAAGAAGAAAAGCCAAAACACAGGAGGAAGGACTTATGTAAACAATGCAACCACCAGTAAGATGAAGCAGGAGGTTATGATGCCAACTAAAGGAAATTTCTTTACTGAGGAACAGTATAAACAATTGGTGAATTTGTTGCAGAAAACAAACACAAGTGACTGTTTTACAAATATTGCAGGTATTATTGCTTTAATGGCAAATGTAGCTGCTAATGATCATGTTTGAATAGTTGACTTAGGGGCAACACATCATGTGACACATTGCAAGAAGCTTGTTGTTGTTATTGGTAGGTTCACATCAATGTAGATTACAATTTCCTACTATATAAGGTACCTACATATGACCAAAAATTCTATTTTGTCACAATTGTAGATGACTATCGTAGATTTACTTGGGTATGCTTAATACAATCTAAGTGTGAAGTAGTTGTTGTAATAAAGAACTTCCTAGCAATGATAAAGACTCAGTTTGAAATCACTGTGAAGGTTGTTAGATCAGATAATGGTATTGAATTTTTTAATTCTCAATGCAACACTTTATTTGTTTCTCTTGGAAATACATCAGAGTAATTGTCCATACACCCCACAACAGAATAGGGTGGTTGAACGAAATCACAGACATATCTTGGAGGTAGCAAGAGCCCTAAAGTTTCAAAGTGCAGTTCCTAGAAGATTCTGAGATGATTGTGTAAGGACTGTTGTATATTTGATAAACAAGTTTCCTACTAGTGTGTTACAAGGTAAATCACCTTATGAATTATTATATGGAAAATCAGTTAAGGTGGATTGCTTAAGGGTATTTGATTGTTTGTGCTATGCGAGTAACCTACCTAAGGGTGATAAGTTTAGAGTCAGGGCAAGAAAGATTGTTCTTATTAGATACTCAGAAACTCAAAAAGGTTACAGGTTATATGATCTTGAAAATATGAGCATATTTGTTAGCAGGGATGTGGTGTTCAAGGAGGAGATATTTCCTTTTAGAAATAATACATGCCCAATTGATGCATATGACCTTTTTACCTCTCAAAATTCATTGGAGGCAGAAGAGATGGTACAATCACATCCAACTGTGCTACCATCTACATCTCAGAACATGCAACCACAAATTGAAGACACTACTACTACAGTAGAGGAAGCCACAAATGATGCAAGAGTTCTAGACAATGTTATACCAGATGAGAATGTAGCTCAAGTGAATGACAATTTTACTGATGGCCGAGGAGCTGAGCCAACAGACGCCCAGCAACATTCTTCAGAACCAACAACATCTGAACAAGAAGTTGAGCCAATAGCAGTTCAGGTGCACTCTTTGGAACCAACAGAGGATGGAAGTATACATCCTCAACAAGCATCTGCAGATGTGAGAACTAGGAAGTCTGGTCGACAAGGAAAGCCATCCATTTGGCTTAAGGATTATGTTACTACTGTTAGGACACACACTAACAATTCCTACTCTATTTCTAATGCCATTTCCTATGATAATTTGTCTCCTACATATCAGTTCTACCTTAGTATTTTTTCAATCTTAACTCAGCCATAGTCTTTCAAAGAAGCTGCATATGATCCAAGGTGGATAGAAGCTATGAACCAAGAGATTAAAGCACTTGAAGACAATCACACCTGGGAGGTGGTGGACCTAACAGAAGGTAAGAAACCAATTGGTTCTAAGTGGGTATTCAAGATCAAATACAAGTCCAATGGTGAAGTTGAGATGTTCAAAGTACGGCTGGTTGCAAAAGGATACACTCAACAAGAAGTGTTGGACTATCATGAGACATTTTCTCCAGTTGCAAAAATGGTAACTGTGAGAACTGTACTTAGCATAGCAGCCTCAAAGGGGTGGATTCTACATCAAATGGATGTCAACAATACGTTCCTACATGGTGATTTATATGAGGAAGTGTACATGCTCTTGCCACAAGGTTTCCAAAGCCAGGGGAGAATAAATTCTGTAGACTAGTGAAATCACTCTATGGCTTGAAACAGGCTTCGAGACAATGGAACATTAAGCTCACAGATGCCTTAGTAGGAGCAGGATACTAGCAGAGTGCATATGATCACTCTTTGTTTACTAAGCAATCAGGACAAGACATTGTTATCATCTTGGTGTATGTTGATGATCTTTTAATCACATGTAACAATATGTACTTAATAGAAAAGGCCAAGAGTACTTTGTATACCAAATTCAAAGTCAAAGATTTGGGGGAACTTAGATAATTCTTGGTTATAGAAGTAATGAGGTAAGATAAGGGCCTACTGTTAAACCAAAGAAAATATGCATTGGAGTTGATTTCTACCACAGGATTAGCTGCAGCCAAACCTGCTTCTATTCTTATTGAGACAAATTAGAAATTGACTACCACAGAGTATGATCAACATGTAGGACATAGTGGAGAGGAAGAATTGCAGGATATAGCAAGTTACCAGAGGTTAGTAGGTAAATTACTCTATTTGACCATCACACGTCCTGACATTTGTTTTGTTGTACAAGTGCTGAGTCAGTTCATGCAACATCCAAAGCAATCTCACATGGATGCTACACTTAGAGTAGTCAGGTACATCAAAGGCTCACCTGGACTTGATATATTCCTAAAGAATGGTCCTATTTCACATCTCACTGCCTACTGTGATTTTGACTGGGCGGCATGCCCAAATACACGAAGATCAATTACTGGATAATGTTATAAAATTAGGGGAGTCCTTTCTATCATGGAAGTCCAAGAAGCAGCAGACAATAAGTCGTAGCTCAGCTGAAGCTGAGTAAAGGAGTCTTGCAACAGTAGCAGCTGAAATCACTTGGCTAGTTGGGGTGTTAAAGGAATTGAATGTTGATTTACAACAACCAGTTGATCTCTACTATGACAGGAAAGTTGCTCTCCAAATTGCAGCAAATCCTATATTTCGTGAACGAACTAAACATATAGAAATTGATTATCACTTTATCCCAGAGAAGATCAAAAATGGACTGCTCATGCCTCATCATATCTCAACAAAGCCTCAATTGGCAGACATTATGACAAAAGAACTTGGTATTGCGCAACACTGTTTTCTTCTTTCCAAGCTAGGAGTTTTCAATGTATTTCAACCTCGAGCTTGAAGGGGAGTCTTGGGATATGAGGGGCCAAATTGTACACAATAGAAGTAGAGGGGAGTTGTTTAGAATTAGTTAATATTAGTTAGTTAAAGTTGTTGTTTTGACGGCTGTAAATTTGTTGTTAATCAGTTAGTGGAGTTATGGATATTAGCACTATATAGTGCAACCTTGTATTGAATGATAATGAGCTGAAGAATACAATTCTCATTTCTCTTCTTCGTCATTTCATTTCTTCTATTTCTCTAGAGCTTGAATCGAACAGCGCAACCATCCGGTGGCAAGGTCTCAAGATCGACGTGATACCACGAATTTGAAAGTACAAGAAGGGAGGATGAATTGTCAATTTTTCTTTTTATATCCTAAGTAGTTGACTAGCTTACTAATTAGTTGACAAACGCTAAAAATAGAATATAACTGAAAGCAGAAGTAAAGTGCAGGAATTAAAGTTATCCAGAATTTGCATACTAGTTCGGATTTAATTTGAATCTGTTAAGAGAAGCGGAACTATTAAATTATAGTTAGCTTAGGTGGTTAAGAGTAGAGTTAGCTAATCTTATTAGTTAGATTCGTTAGGAAGGTTGTTAGGAAGTTAGTAGTTAATTAGTAGTATAAACACACTGTAGATACTACTTTGTAAAAATAATTCATTTCCTCCTCTTCTTCAATAAAACAGTAACTCTGCTTTCTTTGAGTTCCTTCTTATCTTCTCCTCCATAGCCATGGAAGCTAACATGGTATCAGAGCTCGTGATGATGATCTTAGTCTAATTCCTTGCTCAATTGTGTGTATTTATATTACTGTGATTCAGTCAAGCTCCTGAAGTGTTTGAAAGTAGCAACACCCCTGATCTAGGGTTTGCAATTTAATTAACTGAAGAAAAAAAAGCTTCATCAATGGCGATTGGAGACGAAACTAACGAGAGCACATCGAGACATGTGAATGCACCAGTAGCACCTGCTGTTTTTCCCATAATTGATCATAATCATCCTCTTTTCCTTCAACCGACTGATACACCAGGTAGCTTGCTCATTTCTCTTCAGCTAACTAGCTTAGATAACTATGCTTTGTGGAGTCGATCTATGAGAATAGGTCTATTAGGTAAAAGTAAACTAGGTTTTGTGAATGGTCGATACCCAAAATCTAAGTTTGAACTTGAATTTCATGAGCAATGGGAAAAGGTAAATGTTGTAGTACTCTCTTGGATGAATGTTGTGTGCCCAGGGCTATTAAGTAGTGTAGTGTATACCTCTAATGCTCATAAGGTATGGGAAGATCTGAAGGATAGGTTTGATAAAGTAAATAGATCTAGAGTTCTATACCTGCATAGAGATATTCATACACTAACACAAGGAACAATGAATGTAGCTGATAACTTCTCTAAACTAAGTGATCTATGGGATGAGTTTGATGCCCTCATGCCCTGTCCTGGTTGTCTCTGTCAAGAATCAAAGAAATATGCTGAGCATTTTGAGTATCATAGATTACTTCAATTTCTCCTGGGATTGAATGATACTCACCCTCTAGCTCGAAACCAAATCATGATGATGATATTAGTGCCTAGTATTAACAAGGCATATTCTCTTCTTATGGATGTGGAAAGCCAAAGGAATCTGGCAAACTTCACTCAAATGGTGCAAATGACAGAGGTTGCTAACATCAATGCTTTGTATGGCAACAAAAATCCAACCCTTGGGAATGGATAGTTTAGAGCTTAGAAGAAGACAGTGGTGTGTGAGTTTTGCAACTACAAAGGCCACACCAAGGAAAATTATTTCAAGTTGATAGGATATCCTCAAGACTTTAAGTCTAACTTCAAGACAAAGAAGAAAGGGGGTAACTCTGGAGCATATGCCAATCATGTCAACACTGCTCCTAACTACAATCCTACTATGCAAAACACTCAGATGCAACTTGGAGATTTACAGGGCAGAGCAGAATGAATAACAGATGGACAACATCATATGCAAATGCCTTTATCACCTGAATTTCAGCATGTGCCTCAGTAAATGCATATGATGACTTCACTAACTAGATTTCAGACTCAGCAACAAGCACCAACTCTTTTCTTTACTCAGGAGCAATATCAGCAGATAGTTCAGCTACTGAACAAGGGAGCAGATGAAGGTCCTTTTGCCAGAGCTGCAACTGCAGGCAAACTGATGGCTTTATTATCCAATCATGTTAACCACAATTGGATAATGGATTCTGGAGCTTCAAACCATATGACATCCACATTAGATTTGTTAAGTTCATGTCAGTATTCCGCCTCAAAAGGGAAGTAAGGTTCACTTGCCTACAGGAAATGTTACCTCTATTTCACATGTAGAAAAAGCAAGTGTGTTTAACTATCAGGATATCAGTAGTGTGTTGTACATACCAGAGTTTAAATACAATTTGTTGTCTGTGTCTAAACTGACCAAGGAGTTGCAGTGTCTTATGGCAATTTTTCCTGATTTCTGTATCTTCTAGTATTTTTACAGTGGTCAGGTGAAGGGAATTAGTAAGGAGGATCAGGGACTGTACCTACTACAAGGCAAGTCATTACTAAGTGGTATACTTAATCACGATCCAGCTCAACTAAGGAATAAAACTCCTCAACAAGTATCTAAGGTGAAATCTATACATAAATCTACTATGTCTAGGAATAAGTTTGCTTGTATGGCTAATGAATACTCTGACTCTGGTGTAATCTGGCATAGAAGGCTAGGTCATGCACCTATAATGAAATCAAGAAATATACATCACTGAGTAACCTGAAGGATAATCATACTCACTGCACTGTATCCTCTAGCCAAGCAAACAAAGTTACCTTTCAAACTGAGTACTACTACCTCTAATAGTGTTTTAAACTATTATATTGTGATGTTTGGGGCCTTATAGGGTACCAACATATGACAGTAAAAGGTTCTTTGTTACTATTGTGGATGACTATTCTAGGTTTACCTGGATTTTCTTACTTGTCTCTAAGTATGATACAATGGTTATTCTGAAAGATTTCCTAACAAAGGTGAAGAATGTGTTCACTACATCAGTTAAGACTCTTAAAACTGATAATGGTAGTGAATTCTTCAATTATGAAGTACACAATCTATTGTCATCCATGGGCATTATTCATCAAAGTACATGCACTGACAAACCTCAGCAGAATGGAGTTGTTGAAAGGAGACACACGACAATTTTAGAGATGGCCAGAGCTCTGAGATTCCAGGCTGCTATTCCTTTGAAATTCTGTGGAGAGTGTGTATCTACTATTGTTTCCTTGATAAACAGACTTTCCTCAAGAGTTATTGGTGGAAAATCTCCTTTTGAGATGCTTTATTTGCATGCTTCATCTCTCTCACATCTCAGAGTGTTTGGTTGTTTGTGCTATGCAACCTCACCCAAGGAACTGGATAAGTTTGCTTCAAGAGCAGTACCTGGAGCATTTCTGGGCTATTCTTCAACTCAGAAGGGCTACAAGGTCTATGATCTACACTCAAAAACCTTTATTATGAGTATAAATGTGGTATTTAAAGAACATATTTTTCCTTTTAAACACCTACAAACCACGAGCAGTCCCATATTTTTTGTTGTAGACCTAATGCCTTCTACTACAGAAATGCAGTCTTTCCCTGAGCCTTATGATCCTCCTTTGTCTCCTGCCTCACCTTAAAGTCTAATTATGGACACATTCCCAACTGATGCACCACATATTCCCCAAACTTTAGAGGAACCTACTTCTTTAGGCTACTCTCCTTCTGTCGTTGAGCCTAGTGTTCCAGAGTCTTTACAGCCTCCTTCTATGAACCTTAGAAGATCATCAAGACCTAGCAAACCACCCTTGTGGCTACAAGATTATGTGACACAGTCAGTCACATATCATACCTGTAAATACCCTATGTGTCCTATGACACTCTTAAACCATCTTATATACATGCTCTTTCATCTTACTCTTCTCTCATATAACCAAATCCTTCAAAGAAACAGCTACAAACCCCAAGTGGATTGAAGCTATGAAACTTGAAATAGCTGCCCTAGAAAACAACAACACATGGAGTATTGTGGACCTTCCTACAGGTAAAACACCTATTGGGTGAAAATGGATTTTCAAGATAAAGTTCAAGGCTTCAGGGGAAGTTGAGAGGTACAAGGCCAGGCTAGTAGCCAAAGGCTATAGCCAGGAAGAGGGACTGACTATACTGAGACTTTTTCTCATGTTGCCAAGATGGTAACAATTAGTACCATCATTACCTTAGCAGCAGCTAAACAGTGGGTCATTTATCAGATGGATGTGCACAATACCTTTCTTAATAGTGATCTCCTAGAAGAAGTGTACATGCAGATTCCTAATGTGTTTGCTAGACAGGGGGAGTCTCACAAGGTCTGCAAACTACACAAGGCCCTGTATGGGCTCAAACAGGCCCCAAGGCAATGGAACAAGAAACTAACTGAGGCTTTACTGTACATGGGATTTCAGCAAAGCCACTTTGACTACTCTTTGTTTACCAAACACAAGAGCGGTGACTTATTTGTGGTGTTGGTTTATGTGGATGATCTACTAATCATAGGCAACAATGTGGAGCTATTGAACCAGATAAAAACAGATCTGCTGAGAAATTTTAAGATGAAAGATCTAGGTGATCTGATGTTCTTTCTGGGCATTGAATTTGCTAGATCAAAAGAAGGTATAGTCATGTCTCAAAAAAAGTATGCATTGGAACTCATCTCTGAGTTAGGGCTAGGGGGAGCTAAGCCTGCAGGCACACCTCTTGAGCTGAATCAGAAGCTAACTTCTGAGGAGTATGACAAAGTTGTAGCAAGTGTAGGAAGCTCATAAGCAACATATGCAACACTCATGGGTCCAAGAATTTATCAAAGGCTTGTGGCTACTTTACCTGACTATGACCAAACCAGACCTAATCTTTGTGGTTCAAGTCTTAAGTCAGTATATGCACAATCCTTAGATGTCTCACATGGAAGCAACCTTGAGATTGGTAAGGTACATTAAAGAGACTCATGGGATAAGACTCTTTATGCCAGCACAGAATGCAAATCAGTTGTCTGCATACTGTGACTCTGACTGGGGTTCCTGCTTACAAACTAGGACATCAGTCTCAGGTTATGTAGTTAAGTTTGGTGATGCATTGATCTCATGGAAATCAAAGAAACAGGAGACTGTGTCCAGAAGCTCTGTAGAAGCTGAGTTTAGAAGTATGTCATCATGCACTGCTGAGATAGTTTGGTTAATTGGTTTGTTCAAAGAGCTTGGAATTCAGCTACACTCACCAATTAAGCTTATATGTGATAGCAAAGCTACAACTCAAATTGCAACTAACCCCATCTTCCATGAAAGAACCAAACACATTGATATAGACTGTCATTTTGTTCGAAAAAGAATACTACAAGAGATAATAAAAACTCAGCATGTGTCCACCAAGGAAAAACTAGCAGACTTACTCACAAAGAGCTTGGGAAAGACTCGGCATGACTACCTACTGGACAAGCTTGGAGTGAAGAACCTCTTCAAGCCTTTAGCTTGAGGGGGAGTGTTAAGAGAAGTGGAACTATTAAACTATAGTTAGCTTAGGGGGTTAAGAGTAGAGTTAGCTAATCTTATTAGTTGGATTAGTTAGGAAGGTTGTTAAGAAGTTAGTAGTTAATTAGTAGTATAAACACACTATAGATACTACTTTATAAAAATAATTTATTTCCTCCTCTTCTTCAATAAAACAGTACCTCTGTTTTCTCTGAGTTCCTTCTTATCTTCTCCTCCAAGTCACAATTTCAGCTAAGAGCTTCCATAGCCATGGAAGCTAACAGAATCTTACTCCAGTTCTATTGGTTGCAAGGGTGTTCTCTCTTCAAAACTCTTTGAATAATTTCGTACAATCGTGTTGATGTAATCTTCGAAGACCAATTCACTTTTGGTTCTATGTACGGTCGTGGTATTTTCGATACAATGCCTTACCAATGTTTTTCTCTCCTTCTTCTCTCCATTGATTATACAGTAAATTTCACTTAGATTACCATGCTTGTTTACAGTAGAACAAAGAGTATGAAATTGATTTGATCAAAGTATATTCTTCAAGGCTGATACAAATGTATATATACTTCGTGAGGTCTTCTTGACTGTTGATTGATGAGAATCTTGAGAGATTACCGACCCAAGGGAGTTGATCATTCTTTCCAAGAATAAGGGTGGAGCTTCCGCTAATTTTGCCTTGCCTTGTGGTTTTGATGGTCTTTTCCTCCGCTGAGCAGATCTTCCTATTATTTGAGCAATCAAAATTAAATCCCTTAATTCCGTGAGTTAACGGTCTTCATTTGATAGAGGAATCTTCACTGCATATTTTTGCATTCTTGACTTTCTTTAATTTGGGTCCTTCCTATAATATTTTCCGTCAATTTGCTGTCAAATCCTTGATTGATTTTTCCTTCTGATTTTCGCCACTCCTTCCTTCTTCATATTTATGATAGTCTTCCTTTACTTTGCTTCTGGAGTATTTCTGCACATAAAAAATTATTATTTTGCATCATTAAAATAAATATATATCTAACTGAATCTTCATCAGATCCGCGACAGTGGAGATAAACAACACTCTTGCTCGAAGCTTCCATTTCTCATTCACAGTCGGTTGATCGATATCTTTAATTGGGAGACTATATGGATTAGGGTTAAAAACGTTCCCCCCTTTAATATAACTCAATTGAATATATACCCACA